CACTTGTACATAATCCACCTTTCTGCATGGAGTTTGCATATTCAGCCTGTGCATGCCTGGGTTCTCTCCTGGTACTCCGGCTTCCTCCAACTGTCCAAATCATTACTGTTACGATAATTGGCTTCTCTACATTGTTCTTAAGTAGGAGTGTGTGTGTGTGCATGGTCGTATGTCTGTGTTTCTGTGTGTTGCCGTGCGACAGACTGGCGACCTGTCCATGGTTGCGTAGACTACCAGAGATAAGCACCGTCTCCAACGTGACCCTGACAGGATAAGCTGGAGAACATGGACTGATGGATGTATGGAATCCTAGAAACTATTAGCAGTCTGATACGTTTATTTCTGTTAATACTTGTTGAAGTATCCTTCCTACCATATTAAGTCTGCAGCTGTGCTTTCAAAACATCCACATATTGTAAGTTTCCAGTGGGGCATCTGTCCTTCACCTCTCTGGAACATGGAGCTGGTTGTTATTTTTTCTCTCCACCTAGTTTATTTTCATCAGGATGCCATATTTCCTACAAACTTCTCCACATTATTAAAAGAAGAAAGATGTTTGCAGCAGCACAGCTGATGTGTGCAGTCATTGTTAGATGCTAAAAGAGTGATTGGAGAGCTCAGGAGATTAGCAAAAATGGGAGTTACTGTACAGCTCAACTTGAGTCAGACAGCTCCTCTTCCATTTGCTTTCTTGTTTGTTAGATTCCAATGAGAGTAGCAATTAAATGATCCCACACTAATGCTGATGGTGATCTGATAATAGGTCTAAGCAAACACAGCTGTGATATGGGACTTCTCTACTGAAAATAAGTGAAAATATAAACTTGGAAAAACATCTTGTAGGTTTTGGAAACAGTATTCCAAGTGGAGGAATTGCAAGAAATGGTGGGATAAAAAATGTCGGTCCTGTTTACATTAAGTAAGTGCTTTTGCTCTTTTGATCTAGACTGCTTCATGCAGTGGAGTTGAAAAAACTAATTTGAGTGTGGGACTGACTCCTAATAAAACAAAACTGAATTATATAGGGACTGGAGGAGGGGAAGTGGTGCCTTCATTGTATTGCAATGTGGCTGAAATATTCTTCCATCCCTAAATGACACAAAGCAAGTGTTCATAATTGTGTTTACACATCTTGCCAGCTATTTTACAACATGACAAGGGAGGAAATTGTCACGCTGAGGACTGTGTACAGGCAAAGCGTCCAATAATTGTTTGCTGCAGCATTGTTTTTTGCTCACAAACACAGAGAACAGATTGCATGAGTCGAGATGCAAATTGGATGGTGGGTTTGATCGTTCAAAGGCAAAGGAAACCATTAGGAACATCCAGTGGTAAATGGCTGCTTTCTTTTTTTTTGACTGCAGCCAGTGGATATTGGACAAACTTACAGCAACTATTTAGTTTTGTAGTGAATATATAGAACAAAAAAGGAAGAGATAAGGTTTTACGCATTACTTTCAGAGTCAGGAGAGAACTTTACACAAAACATTGGAAAAGTGATAATATTGATATCATTCCATTGAAGATAAAACCATCTTCTGAATATGTAGGTGCAACAACAGTTTAAGTGTATTGTGTTGCTATAACCCATAGCAAAAGATTATAGACATTTTTCAATACAATTTTATTCCTTATTTTTTTCAAATCAAATCTTATCGGAACTCTAGTAATTTAACGTAATATTATTTCTCTAATAAACTATTTAGATGTAGTTTTTTTTAACTGGAAATCTTAAATACTTACATATGTGATGTAATGAAATAATGTTACTGAGAACCATGTTTGCTTTTTGTAGTGCCAATAACAGATACCTCTGTTTTTAAATCCTGTGTTATTCAAGATAGCAGCAATTTCCTTTTTTATGTGATTTTAGGCTTTAATAAGGAGTAATAAAACTTTTGAAACTTTTAAAACATTAATTATTCAAATCCATCGTTCTATCCTCCATAACAATTCAAGAAATGCCCTAAATGTCTGGGGTTTTCTTGACTCTGTGAAGAAGACTAAAATTATACCTGAGTTTCTTGGTGTTCAATTGTTAGATGAAAATGTATGTTTATATAAAGAAGAAAATATACTTTCTAAACTGGAATTTTACTTCTAATACTGCTACTAAGAATTATTGTTATATAAATTGTAAGTATTACAGCTATACTAACTATATAATACTATTATATATATTTAAGTTTATAGATATATGCAATTTTATATATGTATGTAAATATATATTTACTTTCAAATGGTTTTCACTGGTGAAAGACACAACTGCATCAGTACAGCGCGTACATTTTTACTTAAAGGGTGGGAACACTACTGCAAGGCAAATACCCTAGTAGCCCTTAGTTCAAAAGTGGTCGGTTTTATTCATATAGTGCATACTCACAACATATGTCATCTTAACTACTTTACAGAGAGAGTTAAATCAGATTATACAGTCCAATTGGTTTAAGTTCTCTTTCAAACAAAGCCCAGCTAATGACATTAAGTCATTGACTTTGCAGGATGTGCTCTCCTGAATAAACTTGTGGTAACTTTGGTTTTGCCTTTCCTGAAGGCTGTACTTTCAATTTGACAAGCATCATCCATGTGAACATCTGTCGCATACTGACATCCATAAGGTTTAAGGCCATCTGGATTCAGCTCAGCCGACCAGACTTTCTTTCCTACCCTGGATAGTGTTCCTACTATTGACTCAGCAAAAGGTGAAGGGATGGTGCTAGGAGCAGGAGGTAGGATCTGCAATTTGATGTTCTGGAATCAGCCACTGACTCGACTCAGAATAGATTTACCTTACTGATATCACCTGTTCTAAAACCAAAGATCCTGAATTAAGCTCAGGCCTTCAGTAACACAAAGTCGACCGCAAATTCAACTACTGACACAAACAGAGCACGTAACAAAGCCCACAAAAGACATTTTGAAATTATTCACCAACTCTTCAAAGGTAATCACCTCCATGAAGCTTGTTAGTGTGAAAGATAACCAAGAAACTAAACACAAAAGCAGAGCAGATTTCTGAGCCAAAACATCTGTCCTTTTATTTTAAAACATCATTCATACAATAGAATCTGAGCCTAGCAGCAGGATCCTGCTACTCTGATACAGTAATATTGTACTATGAATACATATATACCGAAAAAGTAGTAGACAAATCGAGAAATAATTTCATGAATGCGACTCAAAAGTATATGAATAAAGTAATTTGCTGTATTCTTTCATGCTGCTGCTATTAGACTGATTTTGAAGCTGATTTGCACCAAATAGTTTGTAACTTTGCTTTATGATAGTTAATTGATGGAATTTACTGCTCCTACATAAGCTTTTCAGTGCAGATATTAACCTTACTCATCTTCAACATGGGTGGTCTAGGAAGACTTAAGCTCAGCACACAGACGTGATTTTTGGACACACTTTACAGGCTCTGGTAGAGAAATTGTTATTGCAGAGAAATGTCCTTGATTAACCCGATAGAGATGATCAAAGGAGTTAACATCTTCACAGCTTTTTTTGAAATGCTCAAAGTGACCATTTTAGACACTAATCAGCAGCATTGTGATTCTCTTCATTCATTATCCAAGCCAGCCCACTCCAAGTTTTAACTATGGTAATTTTAGAACTTTTTTTTATATATATTGATTAAAATGGGATTAAAAGAATGCTGCTGGGCTTCTAATTTATCTAAGAATGTAATAAAGAGCGAAAAGAAGTAATTATTTAAAGTGGGTTTTTCATGAATCAAGTGATCACCAACAAGTCTTTTGTCTGATTGTTTAATTAAAAACTCTTGATGGATTTTTTTCCTACACTTGGAATGCATAATAATATGCAAAACTACCAACACAAAACGCAATTTATTAGCATATCATTTTTAATGAAAGAAATCCTAGATGAGGGATAACAGCTGTATATAGAGGTTTATTATAAATAGATTTTGTAGTATTGGCTTTTATTCTGCTTCCTGTCATGTGCACTGGGATAACTTTTTTTTTTCTCAGTACAAACCCTAACACATCACAAGCAGGGTGATGGCAGGTTATAAAAGCTGATTAAGAATAGGCATTTGTCAACCAGTACATGCTCTAACCAGTTCAGGCATGCTGCCATCAGCACCATGGAGATCCCAAAACTGCATTTCCAACAAAACAACAGTCTGATGTTGGCATCAGACAGAAAACATTTTAATGCTCATCTGGTCTTTTAGCGTTACATTTCCTAAAGTTGTACAGGCTGACTGTTTTTTTGTTTTGTTTTTTATTTATTGTATTTGTCTCAGGTGTGGCAGTGTGGTGGTAGTGTGGAGGTCCTGCCCTGCGCTCGTATAGCCCACATAGAACGTGCACACAAACCGTATACTGATGATCTGACGTCTCATGTTCGGCGAAATGCTCTCAGAGTCGCAGAGGTTTGGATGGATGAGTTCAAAAGCCACGTCTATATGGCTTGGAATGTCCCCATTGAGGTGAGTGATTGTTTTTCATTTGCCATCATAGCAAACAAAGAGTTAATTTACTGTTGTGGTCCTTACTGATTTTAGCAGCATTAGGAACACTTTTCTTTTGCATCCCCTTTATCTGTGCCATATTTTAACTGTAAAACAAGAACTATGAACTTTATTATAAAATCATAATTATTTAAAGGATGCAAATTATTCATATTAGCTAAAATCTTTTCATCTCCATTTTTTGATGTTTGTGTTGATATGAGATGCTGAGAAAGAGCAGGTAGCGGACAGAGAGGCTGAAATGATTGTTCGACTAAAATATTGCCAATGTTGTTTTGATAATGAGTGAGCAAACACAGCTGTGTTGTGCGAAAGGTTGTCAAAGATTAAAAAAAAAAAACAAGATATTTTAAGAAAATAAATTTCCTTGTTTCGAAAAATGGGATTCAAATGGGAGTTCAGGGAATAAATGAATAGATAATATCTAAACTATGTCTTTAAAATCTAAATAAGATTATCTATTGATAAGCCTTTGGTCTCAGTCCTTTTTGTAAACTGTGAGAAATGACCTTGTAGGTTGCATTGTCAGGCATTCAGATAAACAGCTTGGGAGTGCAACCTTCCAAGGTTATATACTATGGATGTTTTGCGATCACAGTGAGGATAAAAATTTGCTGGACTTAATGTTCTATGAGGGCGTGGGAAGTGTCCTGCAAACAGAAAGCAATTCTGATCATGGTCTTTTCCCAAATTAACTAAATCATTTGGATAGCTAATGATATTCCATAGCATATGTTACACATGCATTTCTCTCTCTTATCTATTGAAGAAAACTTAACTCGGACATCAATATATGCAGAGTTACCTTTGCATTAAGGTCTTAAATAGGAAGCAATTTAGGAGAGTTTAATTGAGAAATTCTAAAAATGAGTCTATATTTTTTGGTTTTTTGATTCTGAAGGAAAAATGACACTTTCTTCCAGTAGTAATCTTTATTTTCTTAGACATAATCGTATCTATCTGAAGGGAATAATTTAAATATAATTGTCTATGTGCATGCTTAAGTTTACCTTAATTATATTCAGTCAAACTTTATGCTACGTGCCAAAATGTTTGCAGTAGAATTTGTCGCTGTCAGTCCTGCTGGTCTTTTTGTCTTATTTAGCATTATTCTGTGGTGTTCTTGGAGCAGAAAGAGAAAAGAAAATAATTTAATGCACACAAATATGAAACTTAAGATTCCAGATTGGCTTTAATATCATTCTAAATCATAAGCTGAACACCACAGAAGGAAATAGCATTTCTCAGACGTAATAAAGCCATAGCAGCACTAATGTGACAGTATTGCGGGAGAGAAAAAACATGGAATACATCAGTTTATTTTATTGAACAATCAAATTCTGCCGGAAATTTCATTTTCTGTGAAAACCAGAAGCAACAAACCTTAATGCGGGGGATTGCTCATTTCTCAGATGTCCTTTGTGAGCCGTCTGTTATGAAGTTTCAGTCTTTTTATGGGCAGCATTTCCTATTAAACGCAAACTACTGCATGCATGCATCTTTTATGCCAAATATAAACTGGCTAAATATTTAAAAAGCCAAATAAACAATACGCATACACTACAAGATATAATTTTAACAAACTATCACTAAAGACCTATGAAATGATTACAACCATTTTCCTTTGGTTAGTTATAGACTGATGTTTGGTGCCAAATACGCTATGCATTAGTCTTGGGTTAAAACATACATTTACAGTATTTAACGACATGTATGAACAGGTTAATAAATACTTTAATAAAAAATGGTTGAATTTATTTGCAGCAATAAAAGAGAAACTCTTCAGCCAAAAGGGTTTAGTTTATAAGTCATCAGCCTTTTTCCAGTTTCATTTATTTGTTTAAAAGCGGCTGACACCTCTTAAAGACCAATGTGAAATTATGTTTTTGTCACTTGCAGATTGTCCTGAAATAGCAATGTGCTAGAGAATAAATAGATTCCTAATGTGATTCAGGGAAATGGTCTAAATATAGGCATTACAGCTTAAAATAAGCTGTGCTGGAGGCTGACAATAGAATTATGAAAGATGAACTGAGGAGAGAAATTGGATTAAAGCTGTGACTTAGTTGAACAAAAATATCACAGCGTAAGACAAAGTTAATTTAAGAAAACTAAGATCTTCATAATTTTATTTAATCATAAATTAAAGGAAGAAATTGGATTAATTTAGTGAATATCTAAGATTGTATATAGAAACAGCAGTCCTTCGTATATTAAAAACAAATGCTGGTGTTATTCCATTAATGATTGTGCAGTACAATGGTTTCTATAAAAATAATGATTTTTTCTTTGCTCTTGAGTTGGATAGTTATCATAAAAGAAAATATCATGTTTTCAATTAAGCATACCATGAATTAAGTATACCCTGAAGGGGAAGTTAAGCGTTTGCTGCCTTAGTCTATTTCCCTTGTCCTAATTTGTTTGATTATGTAAATCTATTTTATAAATAGTGGAACTGAACATCTGCAGGCAGTTCACTGAGTCAATAATGGGGCATTTAGCAGAGGCTGTACTCAAGTAGCATGAAATTTCACCCCGGCTTCAGCCTCATGAATTAACTACACAGGAAAATTGTCAGTGTTAATTGAGATCACAAACATCTACCGTGTTCATTGTAGATTTGCACTCGTCTGAGTTCCAATTTAATCGGCTCAGCGTCCTGGAGCTTCGTCAGCAACATTTACACCCATTTAATTTGATATCACACAGAAAAAAACGGAATAAGCTTTGAGAAACTGAAAAAGATCCTTTAATAAAAAGCAGCACTTTGACAAGGACTACAGATAAACCCACTGTTGATTTAAAGTACATGACAATTAGTGGAAGCAATTCATTATTTAACTCTAAACCTGGTGAATTTTGAATTAATATGGGCTATTAAGAGACTGGAAGATGCAAAATGACAGAATTTCACAATTTGAAAAACTGAAATAGAATTTAGAATACATTTTTATTACAAACATAAATCGTTTAGCTGATAGACGCTGAAGTATTTTCTTTCAGCAGTTTCTCTTCTACAGTCAGAGTGTCTGGCTGAACTGCTTTATAAGCCAGTGGTTTGATACCAATCTACCTATCATCAGATTTTTCTTCAGATATATATACTCTATCAACATAAAGGCTTTTCACCAGAACAGTCCCAGAAGGTAACATACTTCCTCTTCACATGAGCACGTTAGCTGCTTGGACTGCTGGTAAATTTAGAGCAAAGTTGTCTTTTAGTTGCTGGTATTCATTTTGCTTCTGTAGTTCTGACTTGTACAAGAATGAATTGACTGATGGAGACTTTCTTATTTTCTTTAGGGTATATATTACGCGGCAATCAAAATTTTAAAAACTTAAAGTGCAACACAAAGTATTCTATTTTAACAACAAGACCTATCCTTTTAAATGTATCTGTAGGAGCTTTATACTTTATTTTTCTGTATTTATCTCCACCAGGGGGTGCATTTCCTTTTGTGCCTTGCTTATGTTGGAAGGGGGGATGGAGTCATTTAAGATCAGGTGTAATTCTGTTCAAGTGTTGCCAAACGAGAAGAGGCAAACGGTTTTCTACTGTGCTTAGTTAGAAGTTATGTTGGTTTTATTTTGTTGTAAATGGAAATGGAAAGAGAGTGGAAACAGTGAAATAAATGGCTTTAAGCATAACTCCAAAGAAGACCTGCATATTCTTAAAAGACTGCATGTAAGGCCAAAGCCTACCAGGAGAGAAAGCAACCAGTAGCCTAAAGTACACGATTTTCTCCTCAACAGTATATGCTGCACTAAAATCTGATTTGTACTCAGTCGGTAAACTTGACTAAACTACAAACTAAAAACTTAAACTTAAAAAAAAAAAGGTTAACCCAAATCCTGTTCATATTGATAGTATTTTACTCTTTTCCTTTATGCTCAAATGAAATTGCAAACTGCATGGCTGTTTTTGAAACTCCGGCTCTGCCATAATTTACATAACCATTTGCTGTTATGTTAAAACAAACAATTATCAGAAATAAAAAAAAAATATATATATTATTTTTCTAAATATTAATAGTTGTAAATTTGTTGGCTTTTTAGTACCTTTGACCAAACACCTACACGATAAAAAGCTTGAATACCTGTGCCCTAGGTCCATCCAGAGGATACCAGGAGAAAGGCATGTTAGCTCTTAGCCATGTTCAGCTAAAGGTTCTGCTGCCTGTCTTCCATCTCCAGTCGCCAAAATCATGATTAATAGACCTAACAAAACTTGCAAAAAAGAATGGCATCTTTCAGATGTGTTGTACTTTCAGAACCAATTTTCTCTTGGGTTTTTGTGATGAGAACAATGTCAATGCAGTAACTGTAAAAAAAAAAATACTGCAATAATGGAAAATTGTATCTAACTTTGTATCTAAAGTGTAATTAGAAAGGTCTATTTTCACCCAGTTTTTTGTTGTTTTGTTTTGTTTTTTTCAATTCTTGGGCCACAAGACAAGGCTACCGCTATGTTGTTTAATTAAGCAGGTGGATAATAAGTAATTTCCACATCAATGGGGATCATTTTATTTGGAAGGGCGTGGAAAATTCATATTAGTGACTTATTACATGATTCCCTTGTTGGCAAAGACTAAAAACTCCTGTTCTTTTTGTCCATGTGTTCACAACTATGTTTGCATGTATGATTATTTGAACAATCCCAGGACCCAGGGATTGATATTGGAAACATCTCAGAGAGGAAAGCACTGAGGAAGAGGCTGCAGTGTAAAACATTTCGCTGGTACCTGGTTAACATCTACCCTGAGATGAGGATGTACAGCGACACCATCGCATATGGAGTGGTAAGCTTCCGTTCTCTTCACAGCTTTCACACAGTGTCTAAAATAAACCAGAACATGCCTATAGCAATGCTGAAGTACATTATTTAAATCCAACATGATGCTTTGATGATGTGTACATTTAATACATGAAGCATAACCTTTTCAATTCCATTATAAGTAAAACATATTGTGCCTTTTTTTCATTACATTTTTTTCTTTGTATAAATCAAAGGATAAATTAACTGAATCATCCATGATATGTAAATTCTTTGAGGCTTGTCAGTATTCCTGCCAGAAATACTGACAGCCAACAGGACATCCTGGCAATGCTTCTATTTACCCGTTTCTAGTTGTTATCAAATAGCTTTCTTTCCTCAGTCCTCCCACCTTGCATCAATATGGAGCACTCAAACACAGACTGCCACATAGATCACACTCTAGAAATTATTTCTGGGGCCTCTGGATATTTTTGTATATTTTACAAGCTGAAACATAGTGGACCTAAACAGACAAGGAATATGTCTAAATCTTAAAGTTATGTGTCCTCTTACATTTACCTATTTTTTTGACATTGACATTATTATTATGTTCAGGATGGTGTGAGGATTTGTTACATACTGCTGAATGTTGCCCTCATTTAATGTAAATAGTATGTTGGGTTTTAAATCTTTTATGGATGTTTTTTCTGAATTTCTTTGTGCTACTTTAAATAAAGGAAATGGTTAAAGTAATCAATATCAAAATTATCACATGAGGAAATGTGGCCCTTTATTACTAGTTTGTTATGCCTTTAGCTTTTTATTCTGCTGCTTAACTTTACTTCCACATCACCATACAATTTTCTTGGATTCGCATTGTGAATAGGTTTATTTGTCCTTCTGTGATCTCATAGTTTAATAATGATGTAAACCACAGACAGGGGGCTGAGGTCTGCAGCAGAAGGCTGTGTTGCACAGCTGCTAAGTTCCAATGTGGTAAATTTTAGAAATAAAATGAGAACCCATGATTTCTTGACTGGCAAGAAATCTCCCCACAAATGTCTCCGACTAGAGCGTCTCATGAATGAAGAAAGATTAATGCGTGTAGACCGTGTAGAAAGCATATTGCTCATAAAGGAACAGCTGGTCGCACAGCTTCAAGATGCAGTCAGTGTAGAAGAGCTGGGCGCTGTCCTGTGACATTATGGGATGTATAAATTATTTAATTTTGTTTTGACTGAGCTGATCCTCAGGGGTGCACAGTGGAGCTGTTTGTAGCACTGATGCCTTGCAGCAAGAGGGTCCTGGGTTCAATTTCCTGGTCATGATCTTTCTCTCTTTGCATCGAGTTTGCATGCTCTCCCCATGCATGCGTGGGTTCTCTCCCGGTTCTCCGGCTTTCTCTCCCAGTCCATCACCGTGGTCTGCTGACCCAGAGGCAGTGTTCCTGGTCACTATGCAATGTTAAAGAGGTGTTTCAATATATATATATATATATATATATATATATATATATATATATATATATATATAATCAGGGCTGATCTAGTTCATTCCCGAAGACCTGCCAATGTGGAGTTTTTCTGCCCCTTGGTGACATCATCCTGGGTGAAGATCAAGTCTGATTCTGCTTCACCAGGCTATGCCAGGTTAATTAAGGAGATCTTCAGTCTTCTTTCCGTTGTCCAACAATGTCCTCAGTCAAGGTCAGCAGCTTCCTGCTACAACTAAAACTCTGTTTTGTTCAAACATTGTTGATGTCGGAGTAGTTAAGGTCATTCTGATGGGCTTCTTTAAAGCGCTCCCAGCCCATTTATTAAAATATACCACTCATTAAAGGAGCCTAAATGAGCTCTAAATGTAGCCATGTATTTACACTTGTGGGTCATTGCTGCTAGTTTGCTGTTTTTTTGTTTTTCCCTGCATTGGAAATATTTGGTCATGTGTTGTTGACAGAACACTGAAGCTACCGGTGGGTTTACTGATTGTCAGATAGAAGTAGTGCAAGCTGGGATTTGAAATTGTTCCCGATTGTATTTTCTCTTTTTTGTTTTATATTAATACCCATGTTTGCCTTTATTTTTTTCTCATCTAAAAGCACTATCACTGGAGCATCCCACTGTGCAAAACGTACCTTGTAATCAGAGAGACCTTTGTCATGACGAGCATGAATAATTTTCCTCTGGGCCCGAATGACTGAATAATGTTCAGGAAGGAAAGCTTATCTGATTTGCTGTGCAAAATTGACTTATGGCAGATTCAGAGTATGTTTTTCATTTTAGATGTTCTAACCCACTCAGTCATCTACAGTGCTTTTGAATTTTGATTTAATTTTCATAATATTTTCATATTATGTGAATCACAGTAAAGGTGGGTGGGCTTTTGTGTCACAAAAATGTTTCATTCTCTCTGTGGTTGTTGGTAAGAATCCTACTTTCTTTAAAGGATCTACATTATATAATAAATCTGAGAATTCAAATTAATATTCCTCCAAGTAAGAGCAGGGAATATTGCTCCATAGAAATGAGGAGAAATAATTTCTGAAGCTACCTCTGTCTGAACTGATGCACAATAAGCAAATTGGACCCCACACATGATCATCTTGTCCTATAGCTTTCCATGCATTATAGAAGTGAATTTAATCATCATCCCCTTTTTTTTACATTTTTTAATTCAGTAATTTGTCATTTTACTGATGGATTACAACAAAACACTAATTACATCATGACTTCTCAAATCTATTTGACAAAAAAAGATGAAATAAGGCCTGCTGTAGGGATTTAAAAGGAAAAAATGTAAGCTGTATGTAAAATAAAATATCTTGTGTTCTGAGATCAGATTTCTCTTTAAAAACCACCATCTATTATCTAAATTACTTTATAATAAAGCAACAAGGTGGACTTAGTATTTAGTTCTTAAATCTCATGAGTTGCTTGACTACTCTTTGCCGAATCTCTTCAATAAAGCTTTGTCCTGAAAGTTTGTCCTTTGTCCTGTGCATCCTGATTTTTGATGCTCCAAGTGCCGAGATTCAGTAGCAGATTTATTACTGGATTATGACATATATGCAGTCAAAAGGTGTCAATACTTTCTTTGCTTGTATATAGAAATGTTCTTTCTGTCTGTTTCTATTCTCAGTTAAAGAACTCCCTAAAGAATGATCTGTGTCTGGACCAGGGACCAGATAATGACAACGTCCCCATCCTGTATCTTTGTCATGGGATGACACCGCAGGTTAGATCTCTTTCCTGATACCTGAATATGTTTCTGTTCTACTACTGGAAGTCTATTTTAGTTTTAAATGCCTTCTTTTTTTTTTGGCTCCATCAGAAACTTTCCAGGAAAAAAAATAAACTATTGTTTTTTTTAATAGCTTTTAACCAGATAATACAATAGTCTTTTAAAAACTTTCTGAATGACAATCACTTTTACCGTAAAATTTTACATTGTTATTGTCTCTAGTCTTCTAAAAGAAGGTCAATCTTCATTAAAGGATTATAAGAGAGTTGAAGCATGCTCTAGTGGTTAGAGCAGTGCGCTCGTGCTCTGAGAAGGTTGAAAGTACCCGGTTCGATCCCCACAGCCTCCACTCTGGGTTCCTGAGCAAAACCCTTAACCCCACACTGCTCCCCGGTCGCCACACAATGGCAGCCCACTGCTCCCCAAGGGGATGGGTCAAATACAGAGAGTGAATTTCTCCATTATGGAAAAGTAAAGGGATTTACATATACATTTGAAGACTAAAATTTTGCCCTACTGTTGGGGAGATTGTAGCTGCTTGTTTATAAAAACTACTTTTCCTCAGTTCTCCTTTTTCAATGTTCTAAACTCTCTGGACTGTTTGTTCAGGATATATTTCATCTGAAAAAAAACAGTAGCTTGCTTTAGATTATAATTTATCATCTTCTGCCTCTTCCAACTCATATTGATTGTTCCATCCAATTATGTCTAAACAGATTGCCCTGAGATACTGTGAAACTGTCATATAGACAGAGGTCTCAACATTATCTCTGCTTGATCTGATGCATCTACAGGACATATCATTAGACTTATTAAACCCAATGTTGATGACATGACAGTTGTTCACAACATAAAGCCTGACTCGAATCTGCTACCTTGTTTGGTACAAATAAGTATTTGGCATCTTATGTATTAAAAAATAGCCAAAGAAAGAAAGGAGCAAAATGGTTTTAGTGTTACAACTTAACTGATTCTTTGAAAGAATACAATTAAACATTGTTTTACTGATGTTGGGGTCCCTGAGGTTTCGGTTTTTATCTGGTGTGAGTGTCCTGTCACAGAGAGGATCTTTGCTGGTGGCTAGGCCAACCCGTGTTGCTGCAACATTTTTTAATCAAGATGACAAGTCTGTAGGAGACAAAGGATCATCTCTCTTTGCCGTATGATTACCCCTAATTGTATTCCAGCCAAAGACCTAAACCAGGATTATCTTTCTTGTTGAAATTCTTCTGAATCTCTCTTAATGTGGATTCTGCTATTGTTCCAGACTGTTCACTAGTTTTCAGTCGTTAAAATCCTCAGATGTGGAATTTAAAACAGGGTATCCAGCCAGTATCAGACTTTGACACTAAGTTGTGTTCTAGCAGCCTCTTCAGCCTGGAACCCTGAAGCGATAAAGGGAGCTTTTCCTCAAGCCTTGGATGAGGAAAGGATGAACTAGCATGCAGAAACGAGTCTAAAACTCTAGAGCAGAGGTCACAGATTAGCGGACCGCAGTCCGGATCCGGACCCACCTGCTTTGAATTTAGTTTGTCTCTATTTTCCATCTTTCCTGAATTTTATCAATTAAAAGTAATTTAGTCTGAAAGCCAGAGAAGAAGTTTGAAAATAATCTATACAAGAATTTCTTGGGTTGTTAATGTCTTTGAGCACGTTAACATTTGGTTCTCAACAGTGATGGTCTTTTCCATGGTTCATATGGGCAGTAGCACAAAGCAAAATAGTGTCAGTGCCCAAAACAGGTTTTCCAAAGTTGTTAACGCTTTCCACTTCATGCTTTGTTCAGGCCTACGCTGCATTTGATTTTATCCATGAGGACTTCCTACAATTTAATTGGTTGGAGATATGTACAAGTAAAGCGATTACCGAGGGAAATATTCACTCAAGATCTGCCAATGGTGCTTATAAAGGGTCATTTTCTGAATCAATACTTATCCTAGTGTAGTGCTGGAGCTAGTTTTCTGGACAGTATTGCAGTAACCTACTTCCAAAATGTGTCACTATAATTAGCTTTTCTTTAGTAAATGAAGTGTTCAAGGAATGCTGACAAAAAAAAAGCTAAAGCAGCTGAATGTAAATTGCAAATTTCACACATTTCCAAAAAGGCAGAGTGGTTGGAAAAATAAACTTACTATCACATCCCTTCTGCATCATATGAATCCTAAGAGCACCTGCTAGTCAAGGTTGAATGTGGGTCTTATCTTACTGAAGACTCAGAAGCTGTATTTAGATGTTTTCGTAACATATACGAAAACACACTGTCTTAAACACAGCAGCAACAAAAAAAAGTTGTATGGCTCAGCACCCCAAGCTGCTCTAAAAGTGAGCAACTTAAAAAAAAAGTGCTACTAAAAGACAGCATGGTTGTTGGTGTCTCTTAAAGTCTGGTGTGAAGGAGGCTCATTTGGCAAAGAATGGCAAATAAGATTGGAGAGAAAAAAACTAGAATAAATACTATTATTGTAGGGGTGTTATGAATGCTCAATCTGAATTTTATATGAATATTTTCTTTAATCGTGTTTAATTTGGAAACCAGTCAGTATCCTGTTTTTGGATCTGTTTGTAAAAAAAAATACAAAAAAAATATTCAGATGTTTCCATTCTATCATATAGATTAAGTTAAGAAACATGCAGTTTGTTTAAAGATGTTCCATATGACATTAATATCAGTTTTCTCTGGTTGTTCTTGCTGGTTGCAGTGGAGGGCTGGAGCTAATTTTACCCGTTTTCTGCAGTGCACAGTTAGATATGGTCCAGTCATCGTAAGCATGTAACACAGAGCATCTACAAAATATGTGGAGTCGAGATATGTTTGGTGGGAGGAAGAAAAAGAAGATAAAGATTTACTAAATACTAAATAAATTACCAATAACTGCTGTAAGCTCTCCTGTGTTTTTCTTGTTCTGTATTGAAGACTGATTTATGGTTTTGTAAAACTAGGGTATTAAAGTGGACCTTAAAGATTTTCTGTAAGGAACAGGTCTTTTTTCTATGGGAAAGTTACCCTTCTGGAGCTCTAAATTGCTCAAATTCACAGATATATTGAGTCATTTGCAACACAGTATTAATCATCTATGTGTTGTTGCTCTGCTAAACCAAACTGTACAAAAACCAGTTTTGTGACAATAACAAAATACATTATTATGATTTAGTGTTTCAAATTATTTAAAGCTTTTTTGACTGCTTATTCTGAGAAGCTTTTCTTTTGTCTCCTATGCCGAATCAATGGTAAGGCGGTTAGCAAAGCTATTTCTATTTCTAAGGGGGGTGGGTATTTTTAACCTAAGTATGCTAAGATTCTAGCATATTTACTGCACACTAACAGGCATTTTATGCATTTCATTAGGGAAGAAATAAACATTAAATGTCTGACATTGTTAAGCATCTGCATAAGCAGGTCAAGCTTTTTGTGGGAGAGCACTTTCTGTAAATGTTCATTAAATACTTACAATTATTCAGTCTGGATGTGTTGTCTCTTCCAGAATGTCTACTACACCAGTAACCAACAATTCCTTGTTGGGCTGCTCAGTCCCACCATTGATGATGATGACAACAAGTGCCTGGTAGATGTCAATGGCAGGCCACGCCTCATTGAGTGTAGCTACGCCGCAGCCAAACGCATGAAGGTCCACTGGCTCTTTACTCAGGTGATGAATCCTGAACACTTTAACTATACCTGGCAAAGCATAGGATTCTTCTTTTTTTTTTTTTACCTTTAAATTCAGTCCCTTCTCTGTTGTTCATCTTTCATAAAGGCTGTTGCCATCCACATTTTAGAACATGTTTTGGATGGCACTTTTTGTGCTCCCTAACAGGTCTGTCCAGTCAATGCATGGCTGTAATGACTGTACAGGCTGTTTTGAAAGCCATGAATATATTTTCCTAGAATGCTTTGGATTTCTGAAGTGTTAAAAGATGATCACTCACTTTGCGTCTGCTGCAACTAAAATGATTCATTTTGTAAAATACAGCATTTTTTGCTAACTATAGATTTTGTCGAAGCAAGGTAAAGGGAAGTATATGCTACAAAATGAATACAAAATGATTGAAATACTTAAAAAAAAAGCTTTACAAAGAAATACTGTGCTTACTACAACAAAAGGAAAGCTGGTGGAAAGACAGCAAATGGTGCATTTATTAAACTTGAGGTGAGGTGACTGCAGTTTTGGTATCTGAATCACCCACTGATGATAATCAAAGCTCAGAACAGTTTCCCACTGCTAAGCAGAGACCCGTACCACAAAGCGAGCTCAACCTAGAAGGGTTACTTCCAACCAATCCAGTTTGACCAATCAAAAACAATGGCAATCAGGATCAGTGGTACGACCAACCTGGTTATCAACTCTCTAACTCAATCCAGCTTTAACTGATCAAGAATCTGTGAACGCACACGTATAAAGGGGCGGGTTCAAAGTAGCAGTGCAATCACAACAATGAGCACAGAAGAAGACAGAGTGCTGTATTTCTCTTGTGAGAAAAAAAAAAAGTCTCAAAGAAAAGTCAACACAGTTGACCAAGAGGGCTAATCAGTTGATAGGGAACAGATGTGGATAGACGTAACTAGAAGGGAACTAAGGGAAAGGAGACTTGCACAAGGGGTCAAAAAAGAGTAACTCAAAAAATACAAGAATGACACAAAATGGAAAAGAAACCAATGCATAATAAAACACAGAATGACATAAATCAAAGGGTAACTTAAAACTCAAAAAGAAATTTAAACAGGACCAAAAAGTCCAAAATGGAAGAATCATTACACAGTCTAATTGAAATCCTCCTGATTTCTGAGTGCTGTACATTGCTCGTCAAATTTGATGGCCATTTCTCTTTTATTCCTTGTAAGCTCTGAGCCTCCAGAAAAGATCATCTACCTCCATTATTGCATTAACATGGAAGTTCTGGAACAATTGTAGATTTAATTGTCCTCCTACCTGAAAACAGACTAAGGACCAATCCCGAACTGGTCTCTAACCACTAACACTTCACTATCAAGTGTCACTCCCAGTGAAATCACACTCGCAGCTCTGGAAGGTGCCTTGATTGAAGGCGGGGGGCAACCCCAGGGGCCTGCTTTTACTCCTCCTGTACCGAGGAGCACATCCCCTAACTCCTGAAAACAACCACAATGGCCTGCTACTCCCTCTCTGACCCAGTTTGCCACCATTCACCCTCTCTGCTGCTTTTTCCAGGAAGAAGCAATAAAACTATTATTCTTGCATACTCACCAGTGGACTTCTGGTGGCATTGTATGTGACGGCTTCTCATTTAGGGGGTTCAAGAAAAGGGAACTGGATGCAAATGCGAGCCTTGCTTGTCAGATTTTTTTTTATTATTATTATTTCTGTTGAAAAAAGTTTTTAAACTAAGCCATTTTCTTTCATGTGGGTCTAGCACATGAACTCCTTCCAGTGTATCTGCAGATGTTTGTGGTCATGACTTTAAAAATGTTAACAAGCTCACAGGGTAAGAATATTTTGTCAGGGATGTGTAACNCAGTGCAATCACAACAATGAGCACAGAAGAAAACAGAGTGCTGTATTTCTCTTGTGAGAAAAAAAAAAAGTCTCAAAGAAAAGTCAACACAGTTGACCAAGAGGGCTAATCAGTTGATAGGGAACAGATGTGGATAGACGTAACTAGAAGGGAACTAAGGGAAAGGAGACTTGCACAAGGGGTCAGAAGAGAGCAACTCAAAAAATACAACTAGAATGACACAAAATGGAAAAGAAACCAATGCATAATAAAACACAGAATGACATAAATCAAAGGGTAACTTAAAACTCAAAAAGAAATTTAAACAGGACCAAAAAGTCCAAAATGGAAGAATCATTACACAGTCTAATTGAAATCCTCCTGATTTCTGAGTGCTGTACATTGCTCGTCAAATTTGATGGCCATTTCTCTTTTATTCCTTGTAAGCTCTGAGCCTCCAGAAAAGATCATCTACCTCCATTATTGCATTAACATGGAAGTTCTGGAACAATTGTAGATTTAATTGTCCTCCTACCTGAAAACAGACTAAGGACCAATCCCGAACTGGTCTCTAACCACTAACACTTCACTATCAAGTGTCACTCCCAGTGAAATCACACTCGCAGCTCTGGAAGGTGCCTTGATTGAAGGCGGGGGGCAACCCCAGGGGCCTGCTTTTACTCCTCCTGTACCGAGGAGCACATCCCCTAACTCCTGAAAACAACCACAATGGCCTGCTACTCCCTCTCTGACCCAGTTTGCCACCATTCACCCTCTCTGCTGCTTTTTCCAGGAAGAAGCAATAAAACTATTATTCTTGCATACTCACCAGTGGACTTCTGGTGGCATTGTATGTGACGGCTTCTCATTTAGGGGGTTCAAGAAAAGGGAACTGGATGCAAATGCGAGCCTTGCTTGTCAGATTTTTTTTTTATTATTATTATTATTTCTGTTGAAAAAAGTTTTAAAACTAAGCCATTTTCTTTCATGTGGGTCTAGCACATAAACTCCTTCCAGTGTATCTGCAGATGTTTGTGGTCATGACTTTAAAAATGTTAACAAGCTCACAGGGTAAGAATATTTTGTCAGGGATGTGTAACATGTCTGCTCACATGCACAGACTCCTTAAAAGTGTTTACTCCAGAAACACCTAATGATGACAGGGCTTTTGTGTCAACTAAAAGTTGATCCACCCTTAGAGTGGTGGCAGTTGCTTTGAAATATTGGATTCTCATTTTATAGTGCGCCTTATTTTGTCACTGAAACTTTATAACATTGACATTTAAAGCCCTGGGATGTTTAAGCTGTATTTTTTCAGAGCCAGCAGACATCTCACCATATGCCTCATAATGGCAATAAAGCCGTATTTATTGCATATTTGGCCTCAGAGGACCTTCTGTTGCTGTCATAACAGCAGTAATCCTAGGCTTCTGTTTCACTATAAGTAAGATGTAACTTTTCAACCTATATGCTTTGAGATTAGGCCTATTTGAGGAAAAAAAAAAAACATCATCCCTTTGACCTTCTCCACAATGCACTGACAGAGCTCATTTGTCTGCATCTTTTTACACCATCATTGGCAAAAAAGGTTTTTCATGCTCGAGCTCAAATGTCACAGATCCTCACTGATCTTTACTGTAGTTAACGCTGCATAATGCAGTAAGCGCTGTGGGAGCGCGTCAGCGAAGCTGAAGCTTATCATGTCTCTGAAATGTGGAATCAATTATTGACACGGTGGTGTCTGCACATGTGCAAAGTGTCGAACTGAAACGGAAATAGATCACTTTGATGCAGCCGAAGAAACTGCAAAACAGAAACATCTGCAAATAAAAGAAAGGATTTATTTGATCTCACTAAAAATACCGCGCTAGTCTGTAGAAAACATTCATGACACAATATATTTTAATCCTATTTATTTTAAAGCTGTAAGATTGTTTCATTTCTTTTAGTCTCCATAAAATCCACTTATTGTAATTGATTGCCATGAGCCGTGCTTTGCAGAATGAGAGTAATGTGTATAGATGTGGAAACAGATTAGTCAGACTTCTATGGGTTGCAGGAATGTGAGGGTTATTTTATATTCATCACATAAAAATACCCATTGTTCTATCATGGAGACAGAAAATCCAGATTAAACCCCTCATAAAATAGCCTAAATTAGATCTTCTCTTCTATAAGTAGATAAGTAGAATTTGGGAGACTTATATTTTATGTAGATATGAAAGCTGCAAGTCAGCATCTTATCTTACTCATTCAGAATTACAGTTTACTAAGTTCAGTTTTTGCAGGTCAAATGTAAAATTTCAATTAAAGGCTGAATGGGTTCATTTGGGAATCTTCAGAAGACAATAATGCAAAACACCAAGAACGCTTACTGAATTATTTTATCTATATTTTTCTGTATATGATAATATTGCCTGCTTGCACTTCAAGGCTATTAACACAACTATCCTACTTCTTTTGCCCAATTTAAAAAAAATGCTTTTCAGCATGTTTGAACAAAATTAGAGTTTCTACTTCAGTTTTTTTGACTTTATAATATTGTATAATAATATTAATATTTTAGTATTTAGTGACACCATAGAAAAGTCTAACATCTAACTTAAAGCTTAGTCTTTATAAGCCACACATTCATGTCCATTCTTTTCACACCTTTTAGCTCTAAATTAGCGGAGAGCATAGCTCTCTCTATACTAATGTCTTCACATTGCAATGACTGCTGAAGTCCTCTTTGGTCGGCCCTGACACTGTAATAGGTAACTCCTGCCTCGTTTCATCAAGGCTCGGTTTAGTGCTTTTACTCGGCTCTTAGGCTCTTTCTGTTCAGGCTCTGGCAATTATAGAGCTAATAATCTGTTTTATACACTTCAATTCTGTACTGTTAAATACACTTATGGTATCTTTTGAGCCCAATGAGGAGGGCACTTCTGCAGCTTACATTGGTATTCTTTAACAGCATTGTGGGTTTAGAAATGGAAAATTGCATTTTGCAGAAATTGCTCTTGTCGAGTCCAGCAAAATTTTAACTAGCCTGCTTTTATCTTTTCAGGGAGGATCCATTCAGAACAGAAAATCAAAGAGATGCCTGGAGCTTGTGGTGAGCAGCGACAATGAGTTCGGCTACCAACTGGCTCTGCAGAAATGCACTGGACAGAAATGGTTCATCACAAATGTGTTGTTTAGCAACTTGCTATGATCGAGTGCCGGATGAAAACACTGGAGTCTTTTTTAGAACATGTCTGTGACCTGGCTGCATATCAGTGCTGTGTGAAGAATGGGAGGCAGGAAAGCACTACATGGTTGGATAAGTTCATTTTGAGCCTTGATGTCCTCTGATAAGTGGCCATCATTTCATCCTGAATGTTAAACATTTTATTTCACCAAACGGATCAGCCATAGGTTACAGATATTTTGCATATTTGACAAGATAGTCTATTTAGTATATTTATGGTAAATGTATCTCTAGTCAGATTTCTGTTGTTTAAACTTATTTTATTTTGTTTTGGTTAAATTTGCTACTGTGTAGCAAGCTTTATAATTGTTTTTTTCTTTTTTTAGTGCCTCAGGTTTGTAGATGTAATATTTCATGAAGCTGTACAGGTGTGAGAAAAGAAAAAGAAAAATGGTAACATGATATTTTATATATGTAAAAATGATTTCTTACAAGTAATGAGCAAAAAACTGATGGGAACTACTGAGTATAAGTGCCTTTTATAGTTGTTGCCCAAGGTACATTCTGTGTGTCGTACCATTGCTGAAATTAAAAAGATTTGCAACTAGTACTAATGTATAGTTTGTCATTTATTTCATTTAAAAAACGTGATTTATTTTAATGTATGGATGTTCCTTTATGTGCCACAGGGGTTTAAAAAAAGGCAAAATATTGCAAATGTTCCAAAAGCAGAGGCAATTTTTTTGACAAACTACCATGTTTTTCTAACAATTTTAAACCATTTGACTCCCAGAACTCACCAGACTGGACACGATTCCATATAGAACTAATACAGATTAGGGCTGAAAAAATTACTGGTAATCAGATTAATCCTGATTAATTGATTATTGAACAAATTGTCTACTAATTTAGCAATCAATTAACTATAAACTGAAATGTAGAGACTCTAAGGCATGCTTTTAGCTGACAGAGGAACCTACTCAGAGTAGTAATTCTACCAAAATTATATAAAAATATATAAACATTTTGCATTTAGGATAAAAAAACATATTTCGTCTATCAATATTCTCTATCCAGAACTCAAGTGGATAAGTTTTAGTTTTGGCTATCAGATGAAAAATTGATTAATCAAAAAAATAATCAACAGATTAATCAACTTGTAAAATAACAGTTAGTTCCAGCCCTAATACAGATTCATTCAAGGAAAACATTTTGAAGCCATTGACATGAAGGTTGATGGATGTTTCTTTTCTGGGTCGTTGATATAGCATAATGCAGATTGCTCTCAATTTATATCACTGGAAGCAGAAATCAGTAGAGGGGCATACTGTGATCCTATGAGGATGGAGGTTTTCAGTAAAAAACCCACAGGTTGTCTGCATAAATTAAACAATGCTCATTTGTACTCTTTTTGAATTTGATCTTACGGTTTTCCACTTCTAGACAACAAAGCATGTGAAGTTCCAGATATTATTTTTGTGAAATGTGAATTTTTGGTAAAGGAGCAAAGTACAAACAAGAAAAATGTCGACTCAGGTGTGTTGTGATAAAAAATGTGATGGAAATACTTGAAATTCTAATAATACATTTGAAAACTTACCGGGGTGCCTAAGGAGACATGGAGCTAGAGTAGAAAAACAGGCAGGAGATCCAACCAAGAGCAATGCCAGTAAGTTTAAAATACTACTCACACCTAAATCCCCTTTTTTACGCTAAAAAACTGCATACATACATACATACATGTTTTAAAGAGCTGTCTACACATCTCAGGCCTTGTTGTGACAATTTAATGCACAATTGTTGAAATTCTGCCTTTGAGTCTTTAGCCGACTGGTTGGAGACTACCTCAGATTAAAAGATCCGACATGTAACATCAGCAGGTGAGAACTGATGTTGGCTTTAAAATTGGACACAAACAAATCTGTCTTCTATCAATTCTAAGAAAATGATTTGACATTAGTTTTGAGCCTGGATTCTGGTGAATATGGTGGAGAGAAATCCTACGACTGCTCCAACACAAAAACTATCATCACTATGTTACTTTGTATCACTGTAAGTGCCAATGTGCAGCTGTCAACCACAGCAGAGACCGCACCCAGCACTCATTTATATTTAGGTGGAGAAAAGGCTCTGGACCAACATGAGATGAACTAACCCTGAAACTCCTAAAGTAAGATAAATAAATCCAAATGTATAAAGAGCATAACTTCAGAATGAAATGCGAAACTCAACGCATAAGGATAAACTTATATGTAAGCACCTTTCCAGTAATGGTAAGCAGGAAATAGTAGGCCTTCACAAAATAAACAAAGAAATTATCAAAGCACAGAAAAGATAATAATACCCACACACTTGTGTATCATACTAGATTTCTTTTAAGAAGCAGATAGGAGGTGTATCTGACAGCATGAACAGGGAAAATATGCAAATATAGAGATCACTTTTAAAGCTTTTTGTTGCACCTTCATCGTTAGTAGTTGGACAGGGAGAAAGGAGACAAACAGATAAAATATGCTGTTGATTGCATAGGGCAGGGAATCAAATTCCATACAGATTCACACGGCCCATATTATTATTATTCCTTATCAAATAAGCTATTCTACTGAGAAAAAAGTAAGGTTCAAATAAATTTTTTTTTTTTTCATTTAGGAGCAGGTTTTTGTAATGAAAATGTACCATGTGCTCATTCATTTATGAGTCGTTCATTATTGAGAGCCCTTGAAAACTTTCTAAGTGAAGCATATATAGGGAACACAGCTTGGCCTGTTGTTTAAGGCGGACTACTAACAGGTGAATAATTAAAACAAAGTTCTTTTACGTAGTCTCCTGAGTGGCTGCTGTGTATCGCATTGTTCTACCTGGTACATGCACTACTAAACACGTTACACAGAGCTCCTCTAACAGCAGAAGGCTGAGGTTGTGTCTCCTTTAAGAGCAACACTAAGGGCCAGTCTGCTGTGTGCACAAAGACACTGGTGGACTATTGACTATTGTGAGTTACAGAAACATTTATTCCTGTTTCCCTAAGCTGTATACATCAATGGAACCCTTACCCTGACGTGACCTCCCCACCCCCTATACACAAAGGCTAAATAACTTTTTTTGTGGTTGTTGTTGAAGAGTAAATGTCAGGACAATTCTGTTGGGAGCTGTTACTTCGCACCTTGATTGTTGGCCTGTCAAGAAAAAAATCCTTGGTTGTTTTTCATTCACAGCACGACCCGATCTCTATTTGCTTGCACAACCAGAAAAATCAAAGATTATTTTTCGTTGCAGATGCTGATCCTTTTCAGTGAGGACCGGATGGATGGATGGATGGATGGATGGATGGATGGATGGATGGATGGATGGATGGATGGATGGATGGATGGATGGATGGATGGATTCATTCATTCATTCATTCATTCTACCTCCAGGTTGCAAAAAAGTCAACACAGTCAGAGTCATAACATTAATCAGTTTCATGTTGCAGCCTTGGCAGCACAGCCTTCCTGCATTACTCATTAAGGGCATCACCTCATAGGAAGGAAGGTCTTTGTTTCAAAGCTCCCTTAACCTCAGCCTTTGCATGTAGTCTGCTTCTTTTTCCTGTCCACTCTTGTGTTTGTTAAGATGACCATCCTTCTCTCCCTCAGTTTGGAAAAATACATTTAAGGTTAACTATTGATCCTGAACACGGTATGTTTTGTCTAATACCTTTGTTTTAACACCACCTCTTCCACATTGATCGGAGAGAAATATTTTTACGCATCTAAGAAGTAACATAAAGCGCTGAAAAGCTGAAAAAGAGTAACTGAACTGTTTAAGATACTTTGAATTATTAGATTCAGATATTTTATCATTTATAGCATATTATGATGCCATCACTGCTTGTTTTCTCATTCTAAATATGCTAAACTTTAAATATTTACTTTTTATTGTGTGATTAAATTCGGCAAAGCAAGCACATATAGACTAATATCTTTACAAATACAGACAGAGGTGGCCATGAGTCATGGAGGTGAAGTCACTTTTTAATGACAGGTAGAAAGGGCAAAAGTCAAAAATTGGAGCAGCTTTGTGCAGCGTCTGCTGGCACAGAAGGGGAGGAGACGAGCAGAACAGAGCTTTTTCAACGTGCCAGTCCTTATTACCTTCCACACTCAAGCAGAGCTTGGCAAACTATGGTATTAAATATACATGGAAACCCACTTTCATCAAAAGGACCTCCCTGCTACCACATTCTAATATATGCAATAAGAGCAGCTCTGCATGTGCAAATTTCTGAGTGAAAGAAAAGCGTACGCCCATGCACATCACTTACATCTTCATGTAGCTGATCGCTTTCCTGCTGGTGTGCTCTCCAAATAGTGCTTTCAGCTTTGAACGATGCAGCAGAGGGAATATGTGCGGTTAATATTGTTATAATAAAATTCATATTTTTCACCCTGGCTTCCTCAGTGTAACATTTTCTTCAACAAAAAAAAAAGGTAAATGCTGGGTTTGGAACTAAAAATGTGATTTTATTTACTGACTTTCACCCACCAAGCAGAAAGAAATTCCTGAAAACAGGGAGACGGAGCTAAACCTAAATGTTTCCCACAGTTAAGGAGCTGTGGAAATGTTTCTGCATGCCCATGAGTCACATGCAATATCTCAGAACAGTGCTGGCCCAATTTTGATGAAGAGAGGGAGATGACATGCCTGTCTTCCCATAAGAGTTTGTATTTGCAAAATGACATTCATTCTCCTGACTGGTGAGAATCACTAACCTTTAAATATGTCTGTGGAAGCAGCCTTGTAAATAATGTTTTGTTTAAATTTTTGTATAGAATTGTTCTTACATGAACCAAATAAGAACTGAGTGCCCATAGAGTAATATATGCATTGTTTTTATAGATAAAACAGAAGCTTTTTCAACATGCCCCTGCTGGTTCTGTCAACACAACCAACCCAACATATTTGCTTATTAATTTTGGTGAAAGAAATAGACCATTTCTTTTTCTTTATTATGTTTTTTGTTACCATAAATTCCGTCTTCATCCTTAAAATATATGTGAGATTTCCTGTCTATCCAAATTTCTCTGAATGGAATCTGTTTGCCTGGTGTTGTGGTGTCTTTGTGCTTGTCCGGTGGGCATACACCAGATCTGTATCTACATTTTTTTAACATCATATCGTCATGGTTGGGGTCTCTTAGATTTGTCTCCTGAGACATGGCAATACAAAATCTTGCCTTGTGAACCAGGCCTGAAAAGGATATATCACCACTTTTTACCTAATCGCCTTACAGTAGCTCTTTATGGTAGGCAGTACAAAAATGGACATGATTCCTTCCTACCATTAAGGTCATAGGGGCTAAAATCTGCCTGTCACTTGTGGATAAAACCAACAGACTGTAGACATTAATGTCATGGTCAGTTCTTCCTGCTCTCCTCTGGCAGTAGTTATTGCAACATCAGATGCAGAAAAAGGCTGAGCAACAGCTTCTTACCTTATTCAGTAAGACTTCTTAACTGTAAAGGTTTGTAGCACTGTGGCCAGGATGATGAGAAATCTGGTGAAATTATTACAATAACTTTGCAATAGTTTAATGCAACAATCCAGTTGCCTT